TATACTAAAATATATGACAGTATCATATTTACAAATCAACTACATCTTTAAATGTTAAAAAAATTTCACACAAACATAGTTTTTATTTCTTATGAAATTCAGCTATCTGTAGACTGGGCTACTCAAATTATTTTTTAATAAAATATTGTATTGTTAAAGTAAATGTTTATATTTTTAAAATCAATTGTGGGAAGCAGGCACTCCACAGTTACACAAAACTGTTCACACAACTCAAGAAGAACTTAAGGAGTCAAAAGACAGTTTGGCCTAGATAAGAGTAGACTCTTTTTGTGGGAGCAAAAAAAAGGCAACTGGTAATTCAGTAACCACAGGTAGTGAAGATTTTCATTTCATGTCACGTTTGACACCAGAACAATCTAACCAACAGAAGTAGCACGCAACCAGATAGAAAATGAGCACCAACATGGCCACCACAGCGTCCCCTGGCTCCCTCTAATGCTACACTTGATTTCTTTTCAGACTTACTCTATTCCCTCCTTGTGCTCATAAATAATCATGTTGATTGACATGAAGTCATTCTGCATAGTTCTTTACATCATGAAATAAATCCATCTATATCAGAACTATTATTTTAAATGAGCCAGAAATTATAATGATTCTTGCTTGTCTCTGAAACTCTGAAGTGACAGCCTTTAAATCCATGTTTTAAAAAAGGAGGATGGAGAAGAATTGTAGATCTGACCTTCCATAAAAATAAGGCTCAGGACTGCCTTTCCATTCAAGTCAGAATTGAACTTGCCAACCTTGCCTTTTACTTTTTGAAGATTATAAAAGAATCAAAAGTTGCTATTAATTGTTTGGCAAGATTATGAGAATTTCAGAGAAAAAACCAACAGTCTTTTTCATACTTAATACCCATGTCTCAATCTTATATTGATTAGAAATCTTACAGTATTTTATAAATATATGTATATAATCTGCTTAGTACAATTCATCCATAGTGTACTCTGAATAGTGAGTAAAACCTCCAAGAACAGAAGGACTTAGAGTATCCATAAGAGGTAAAGCTGTTTGGGAGTGGCTCTTAATTAGGCACCTACTTTACTTCTCCAAAATATTAAGGTAACAAAGACAGCATCAGAAAGGAAGAATTACACCTTTATCTCACGTAATTCCAAACATTAACACTTGTATACCCTCAATATGAACAAAAGACCCTAATTTCTCAAAATCCTTATATGGCAATAGTCATGAAGTGTACAGAACTTTTATCTCAGGAATTATTTTCCAACTTAAATTTTATACTGAAGGCATCTCTATAACTTCAAGCTATCATTACAGGAATTACTCATCAGTTTTACTTTGTCTCTAAACTATGTAGACAATACAAAATGTAGACTTCTCAATATCTCTCTTTTATTTAAGAATGGAGCATGAATGTCACACATAAACAGAAATGAAATATAAAAATCAGGTTTTTTTTCCTTAATTGAACTGTATGATACAAAGACCATAAAACATTCTCTCTGTTTTTAAAGATACTGAATAGGAAAAAAATAGAGAATGCATTTTCCTACTGAAATAAAAAGACATGTTATGCGAGTATGACAATGACCTAGAATCCAAGAAAAAAAAAGTACTTGTGATGGGTGACAATTCTATAAATATATTCAATCATTTTGATAAATGGGTAAAATGTATTTTAATCAGCTTAACAGCTGAATATATCATAGCTATTATAACATACTTTCTGCTTTCTGAATACACTATATTAGTAGATTCTTTTTTGTTTGAAAATTTCTAGAAAACCAGCATGTTCACTATGAATAGTGTCTTAACAACTTTGCCCAAAACATATATTTAATCATCCACATAAACTCTGCTATTTAATCAGTAATCGTAAATTAAATATATATTATATGCTGGTATCAGAAATATCAATATACATATGTATATATGACTGTGCCTTCAAGGAGACATACAGCGCATAGAAAAGCAGACATTTAAACACATAAATTATAATATAGGCCATGAGAAAATATGTAAACAAGTGTCATGGATAAAAGAATAATGCAGGAACCATTCTGCCTTGGGAAGTCATTGAAAGTATCTAAGAAGAGGCAATTTCTGAACTTAGTCTTGTGGGAGATATATACAATTTACCAGGAAGGTAAAATATAAAAAGAGAGAGGTTTTCCAGGTAGAGATAATGAAGCTGTATTATTTGAGGTCCCTTGGTATGTTTATGAATATATATCTAAAACTTGGCATGATTGGAATATTGGCTCCATGGCAGGATGTGGCAGGAGAGGAGACTAAAACCATAGTTTGGTACTAGTCTATGTAATTTTACCTTAAGACAAAGAGTTTTAGACTAAATCCTATAAGCAACAAGGACACACATTCATTTCCAAAGTGGGGTAAATAATGCAACTCATTTCTCAGGCAAATAAGTCTAGTGGAAGATGAAAGAAAGACTAAAAAAGAGAAGAGGCTGAAAATTGGAGATCTTATAGGAGACTCTTACAAGACTCTACTCAAGAGATGAAAAGCTGGTGGAAATCAAGAAACATTTGAGGCAGAAACAAATTTAGAAACTAATTAGACACACGGTAAGAGAAATCATCAGTGCTGATGTCACTAAAAATAAGTTAAGTCATTTGTATCCAAACTCTATTAACTTCCAGAACAGTAGATCTTAATCTTTTTGGGTTACAGATTTATTTGAAAATCTGATGAAACCGTATTCCTACTCACACGTGTGAAAATACAGAATTCTCCTTTAATTTTCAGGAGATCCATACAGCTTGATTAAGAACTTCTGCTCCAGGTAAAGTTACTTGAGAAAAGGATTTGTGTCTTATTAAAATCTATTTCTATAGTATCCAACATCAACAACAACAAATTTGGTAAAAGTAGGCAGTTCATAGTTTTTATTTAGCTGAACTGGATGCTCCATTACAAATTGAATGGTTTCATTTTCACTAACATCCTGCATCACAGTATCCCCTCATGCCAACTATAGTATATAATTTAATATACTTATTCCCAACTTCGAGTATACTTAAAATAATCTCCCTTTTATCTGTGGTTTTCTTTTATATCCACTCCTTCAAATTTGTATGTTTATGTTTATAATAGTATCATGAGAAAACCAAACCAAGAAGCACTCTCAACAGGTTACTCCCTGAGAGAAAGCAATGGTTAAAATATTGGGAGAAAAGGCATTAGCAATGATGCAATGTCAAATGGAGAGTCTGACAGCCTTACTCTGTGGAACTGTGTACTACCATTTCTCCCTTTTCTTTTCCTAGTTTAACTCTTTTGAGAGGAGGTCAAAACATTATATCATTGCACACAACTAACATGAACTCATAGTAGAGGGAGAGGGAGAAATTATGGATAGTATGATTTAATTTGCCAAAGAAGAGATAATGAGAAAATAAAACACGCTTGCACCTTGTGAAGAACTTATAATGATTGTAAGTATAGATGCCCAAATCAGACTGCTTGAGTAAAACTCTGGTTCTCCCACTTATTAGCTGTGATTTGGAACAAGGTATTTAACCTCTCTGTGCCTCCGTTACTTCATCTGTGAAATGGGATTGATAATACCTCATCGAATTATTGTGAGAATTAAGTGAGTTAATATATATTATGTGCTTAAAACATTACACCTATGTAAGTGCTACATAAGTGTTAGCTAAAACATTATTCTTGGTGGAAAAATCTTGTAAAGTCAAACACCCGGGCAAATTTTTACCTATAAGGCTTAAAATGTTGAATGAGACTATTTAAATCTAATATGAATATAAATAGTGTCTAATTCACAGCTACTAGAAGATATTTGATGCTTCTTGTTGATTTAACTCCATATACAGTAATGCAATAAAATAAACCAGCAGCATATTACAGTACCAATCACATTTATGATATGTAATAATTTCCTGGAGAAAGCAAAAAAAAGTATTTAACAGAATCAGAGTTGTCTTTAAAGGTGTGAGAATATGTGATCAAACATTTTTGTTGGTGTAATCTGGTTCAAACTGGTATAATCAAATTAATGGCACTGGCATTCTTGAAGTTGAAGAAGGAGAGGTCACAAAAACGTGACATTCACCCAAGCAGCCATGTTGAAAAGGTGAGGGTGGCTTTACTGGCACCTAAGTGCCCTGGCACCTTGCTGATTCTACATACTTAAGTCCCTAAAATGGACCCCAAAGCCTTATCTGTGTACGTCTGCTGTTTAAGCTTCAGCCAAAGATGCTGTGTTGTCTTCTTTATTCTCATCTGCAAAACCAGTTTCCCAGTGATCCAGACCCCAGGATGAGAGGCCAGATAAATTATCCTGAATTTCAAATTCTGGAATAGGATGCACCAGGGAATACTGATTTATCCAAACAACAGCATGAATGGTACAGAGTTAGAAATTACAGTGGTCACATTAGAAAACTATAGTCTCTATGAAATATATTCTTCTATAAAATTCTCAGTCCTGTAAGGAATACTGGAATCTCCAATCTGAACAAAGCAAAAAATTGAAAAACATGGATTTATTACAGTGAAACTGTTCAGACTATGTTGTAACTCTATGTGAAAAAATCTTTTATTAGAAATAGCATGGTATCTTTCTTGCTAATTTCAATGTGTTACTTTAACATTATTCTTATATTTACATGGGTTTTTTTCCCTGTAATTAAGTCATGTGTCTCAAAAGCGGAATTCTTAAAAAACAAACAAACAAAAAACTAGCATATCTTATACTCCCTACTGGAATCAATTTACTTATAAAGAATTCTAAGATGTTTGGAGTATATCTTGCATATGGCCATTAAGTAGATAATAATTATATAGCAAAGGACTGAAGCCAAACTATTAGAAGACTACACTGGTCAAAAAGTGAGTGTAGGCACAATAGACCATGAGAAACCTACCATTGTATTGTGCTGAGAAGTGGGAGTCCTATGGCCACAAGTCTCTTGCGTCAGCAGAGAAACTGGCTGAAATTCCTCAGAGTGAGGCTTGTTGGGAAAACTCACATGCAAGGGAAGGTGAAAGGCTGGGAGCCCGTCACTCTCCTCTTCTTCCACTTTCTGTCTGCTTGTCACCATGGCTACCTCTCCATCTGCTTCCCCATACGGAGAGGCTGGTCGCTTGGAAGACATCCTGGAAGGAACAAAAGAGGAGAAAATAATGAAACCTCCACATAAATCCTTAATGCCGTCATTGTGTGGTTAGGGGCCATTGTAACAGAAATGCCTTTTTGTGCTTGCAGAGAGCAGGAAACCATCCAAATACCACTGCAAAGCACACACAATCAGAAACAATGGCCAAGCAGGTAGCAACAGAACAGTGCTTGTTTGTTGTGAGAATAATACACTAATATAGCACTCTCTTGTATTCTGGCTTCTTAAACAAGAGAATTCACCTAAGAATACTGCATAATGAAAGACCATTCCATTTTAAAGGAAAGAAAAATACCCATCTAGTTTTACACTTTGATAGACCTTCTTGAAGACAGAATATGTACAGATAGCAAATGCCATTGGTAGTAAAAAAAGAGAAATGGCTAAAATTTATTTTGTCAAAAAAATTAAATGAAATAAATGAATGATTACTATTATAACAAATTTGCATTTTATTAAAAGATTACTGTGACATATAGAGATATTGGTTATATGTAAACCTTAGACCACATGACAAAAAGTTTGATATTTGTTTAAAGCTTAATAACTGAACACATTTTACACTCATTGCTAATCCTGAACCATTTGAAATTTTTCCCTTACTTTCTAAATCACCCAATGTAGGCATCTGGCTCTAATATTTGCAAAGCAGTAAGGAAGTAAGAGTATAAAAATGTTTCAGTTTTATTTCTACAATTCTGTGAAAGATTTAGACATATTTACTCCTTAGATATCTGAGTAAAAAAAGAACAAATAAAGATGTTTTGTTTTGATGAGCTAATGCCTATATGACAGTGTACTTAAGATAACTGAACAAAATTTAAACATTTTTTGTACTTATGTACTGATTGGAGAATATTATCAGAGGCTAAAAATATGTGGCAGATATTTTTAGTTAAATAGTTCCTTTTCATTAAAAGTTTACATAAATTATACAGAGTTTAAGTTTTTAATAAAAAAATAAACTCTTCTATTTACAACTTGACCTGTCCTTGAAAAAGCTGTAAGTTTTGTTCCACAAACAAAATGTGTTTGTAGGATTATCCACTCTTATTCTAGCCAGTGGGATAGGAGGCAGGAAAGTGTTAACTAACTGCAACACCACTTTCTTCATATATATCACTGATTTTTAAATTAAAAATGTATTACTAAAAGAAATGTCTCTAATCTTTGTTGAATAATACTATTTTAGTGTTAGAAGTTTTTTTAAAAAGTATTCAAGTGTTAAAGATATTCTATTAAGAAATAATAGCACTGTAGAAAAAATAAGGGTTTTGGAAGCAGACAAATACGGATTACAATACTGATTCTGCTACTCACAAGCTGTGAGACTGTAATCTATCTCAATTTTGCACATCTTTAAAGTAAGGTGCAATATCTACTTGTAATGCTTTTTGAGAATGAACTGTGTACCATATGAAAAATGACTTGTAGAGCATTTAGCACAGAGTAGACATTCAATAAACAATAGCTACTTTTTTTTTTATTTTACAAACTTTAAAACTATAGTATGGGGCTGTGGAGCCCCTGCAAAAAACATACAAAAAAACCCTCTAAAATGAGGAAAGCAGATTGATGGCCTCTAGGAGTTAAACTGTAAAATCAACATGAAATACAAAGCCTCACAATAGAGAAATCATCCATTGCCAGTCACATATGACAATTAACCAATCAAATGTACTAGTAAGTATAAAAAAAGAAATGTTAATAGTAGGTGTCTTGATCAACTGAAGAACAGAGAAAGAGGAGGTAAGGCTCGTGGCTACCATGAAAGGACCATCTATAGAAGAAGCAGACTGGGACAACACATTTAAGGTATCTGTAACTATTTTTTATCTCATTGGCAAAGTTTACTTCAAATATACTCTAAGTATGGAGAAAAGAAGTAAGGACCTGTTAACACAATTCAAATAGTCTTAGTCTCATAGGCAATACCATATCTATCACCAAACTATTATATGAAACTATACATAATCCCTCTCACCAGTAATGATATTTAACTCTCACTGTTCTGCTTCCATGCTCTCCAAGCAAACTTCTGATTCCCACATAGAAAATGGGCTGATAGAAGAGATTTAAAAATTTCAGGTCTTTGTGAAGTGATTTATCAGAATAAATCAATAAAGAGACTTTTAATTATTTCTTGGTTTCACATGTAGCTTGACTACAAGAAGATTATGCATTTATTATACAAACTGTAGTATTTATGGTCTGTGTGACCATTGTCATTCTTGTTGGAATTAATCAATTGGCTTTCTGGTGTCTAACTCAGTCTTATATACAATCAGTCTCCTACTGTCTGAAAACTCCAAGCTATTGGCAAGAGTCAGTGTCCAGGCTACCAAAGCAGAAAGCTAGATCAGCTGGTCTTTTCTAAGTTAATACACAAGTCTGTGACTTCCAGAAGGTATGATCTTTCTGCTGATTTCTACTTTATTAATATCATTATTAAAACTTATGAAAATTAAAAATCCTAAAGAAGACATAAGGTAGTTAAGATATCATTAGTCTTCTCAAAACTTCTAGTCATTTCAATATCTAAATTATCTTTATAAATGTATAAATATTCTCTCTCTATATATGTATACACACACACACACACACATATTTCTATGAAACAAAAATGATAAGATCTAAAACACTGAACATAAAGGGTTCATGGTGCCAGAAGGCAACTGATCCTAAAATATGACATATTTCATGTTTATTTCAACTCCATTTTCAGAGACTTAGAGAATGTTCTTATTGAGTAAACTCAAGTATTTTCATATAACTGAAATAAAAGATATCTTTTTTTTTAAATTAATACAATAACAAGTGACTATGTTTATAGTTAATAATAGGCTACTAAGTCAGAAAAAAAGTAAAATACATAACAAATTATGTAGGGAGCTATCAATCTGTTGGTCACATTAGTCATGTTTGGTCTGATTTATACTGCTTCTAAAAATATTGATAACTAACTTACCAATAACTTTAGACTATTGAATTTTATTCATCTATCAAGGGTTTCATTTTGGACAGAGGAAAGTCTCATTAATTTTAAAAAAGCAGAAGGAAAGCACTGCAAATTTCTATACATCGGGTATCTGGGATGTGTAGGGTTCCAATTCCTGTAGTTTAAGCTGCATGACTGTGTCACAGTACAAGGATACCTGAGGTATGCTCTCATGTATTCATTCAGAGATGATTTTTCTCATTCCTGTGGTAGGTACTAGGCTTACCAATGAACAAAACTCAGACTTCAAAGAAACTGAAATGAGGCAGACATATAATTCAGTGTGAAACTAATTTACAGAGCTATGTTGACTTAATAGTAGTCTTTAACTCAGTTCTGTGTGTAGACAAGAAAATCTTTTTGAAAGAACTAATGTCTAATTCCAGGGCAAAAGAGAATCTTCAAATCATCAACAATCTACTGACCACTTACTATGTACAAGACATTTATCTAATCGAAATTTACTATATAATTCAGGGTCTCTACTTAAATCCCATTTCTAGTTTACAACATTCCTGGAGTTGCTGAGTTACATGAATGGAACAGATAAGAAACAGCCTCCCTCTTAAGGGGCAACTTGCTCTGTACAAGGAGTCATTTTTCCTTTATTTGTCCATGTAGCAATCTGTACAATCAGGCTACTCCAGTTCATATGTGGAAGTAATTTTACAATTACTGGAGTCCTTTGCTATTCACTAAAGGCTCTCCATGTGCATTATAATTACTCTGTAGGTAGGATGTCCCCAGTTGTATTTAGACATGTGTAGCAGATTTAGGGGTAGGGCAGAGAGTGAGAGACTACACCAGAAAATTAACTCAATGGTTCCCAACCTTGACTGTACATTGGAATTACATGGAGAGGTTTAAAAAATACTGCTGCCTGGGTCACACTGTCTGACATTCTGATATTATTGGTTTTGGAGTGCACACAAGGTATCAGAATATTTTAAAGCTCCTAGGTGATTCTAACGCAAAGTCAAGTTTGCAAAACATTTGCCTTAGAATAATGTCCCTCACCCAAGATGTCCAAATCCTAACCCTGAAGCCTGTGAATATGTTACCTTACAAGGCAAAAAGGGCTTTACAGATGTGATTAAGTAAAGGATCTTGAAATGAGATTATTCTGGATACTATAGGTGGGTCCAAAGTAATCATATATGTCCTTACAAGAGGGGAAGGCAGGAAGATCGTAAAGAACAATTGAAGATACTATGAGGCTGACTTTGAAAATGGATGATGAGGCCATGAACCAAAGAATGTAGGTAGCCTCTAGAAGCTAGAAAAGACAAGGAAATAGATTCTTCCCTAGAGCCTCTAGAAGAAATGAGCCCTGCCAACAACTTGATTTTAAGTGAATGCATTTGTATTGTTTAAGCCACTAAACTTGTAGTCACTTGTTACAACAAGAAATTAATAGACCACTTACTTAAACATATCTTTTTTCACAGCTGGTATTTTCTCAATCTGAAATACTTCTGCCCCAGATATGTTTACTTGCCTGTTCCTCACCTAATTTTTCTTTTTCTGTTTCAACATCATTTCCCAATGAGCCTTCCTTGCTTTTTCCCGCTAAACCAGCACCTGTTTCCTCTAATACTTCTTATTCTCTGTTTTGTCTACAGAATTTATCATCACTTGGCATATTTTATAATTATTTGTTTATTATCTGTCTTTCCCACTATAATATAAGATTCAAGAGGGTAGACTTTATTTTTGTTCACAGCTACTCATCTTGTACTTAGGATCATTTCTGAAAATAGTATTTTTTAAATAAATATCTATTAAATGAAAGCTATTAACTAAAACCAGGAACTCTCCTACTATTCTCTAATGATGAATGGTTGTGAGACAATGACGTACAAGAAAGTATGCTTAGAAAATGCCTTAATATTGTTAGGAAAAAGGAAATCAAGTTCAGTGATACAGTATTCTTTTTAAAAAATAATTTCTATGTAATGGGACAGGTAAACCCTGTTTAATTC